CAAGCTGGCTGTATTTCCTGATAAAGGGCAGTCTAATGCTGACAGTATATTCCTTATTCTGATCCTGATGTCTACAGCCCAGCCCCTCCCAGGACAGGGCTTGTTCTCTGCAGCACTCTGGTTAGGGTAGCACGGGTTTGGGACTGAGATCTTTGGTCCGTGGGCCTGTACCTCTGTAACGTGATCCAAGTGAAACATGGGCACTTGAGTTTGTAGGGAAAGCAGAACATTTTCCAGCTTTTGGCCTGAAACATTTCTGATTCCATTTTTCGGAGTGGCAGTTCCATTTTTTACTGGCAGTTCTCCCCCCCTCCTTCTGATGGCTGGCAAAATTAAGATGTGTACTTTCTCTTTATTTGCTGGCTGATGCTTCAGAGTAGACAAAAAGGACTGAAGATACTACTTTGGTACTGCCTCAGTTAGAAATTTTCCTCTTGTTCCACCACTTTCCAAATATGTACTAACACTAAACAACAGAGATTTGATAATTGGTTGTGTGTGAATAAATTATGATCAGCCATATTTAATTATAAATGGGCATGCGTATGTAAGAGAACAGAAGACATCCAAAGGAAATATGATACACACAAGGGATAGGAAATAAAAAAGACATTCCTTAGTGCTAAAAGCCATAAACTGTCAGGCATTTCAGTGATTTGTCACCTCTGCATTAACCGCTGACTCAAGCTATTAATGATAAAAGCAGATAATTACGGTGCCATCCTCTAACAAAGCAGCAGTTATAACAGGGTAAATAACACGCTCTATAAAATTGCCTTAAATTTGTGTTTGCACAGCAGACAGCATTTGGTAAGCTCCTGTTAGCTCTGGAGATGTTTGGGAAAGGGAACTACTTCTTTTGTGTGTTTTATGTTGTCGTATCAAGGGAAAAAAACAAAAGGTAAAAACCCATACCTAAAACAGATTGTGAGAGGTTTTAAAGTGTCTGCTGCAGAGGGATAAAGGCAAAATGGCCTTCTCAAAGCCAAAGGCAAGTCTTTGGGATTGCTACAGAGCTCGCAATAGTCAAACTTCATTTTCTTCCAGTGAAGTGAAGTATGGCAGTGCATTTTTGTAGTCACTGTGGTATTCTCTGCACTTCATCCCTTATTCTTTTCCTGACAGCAACAAAGTACTGACTGCTGTGTGACACAAAAATAGGAGAGTGTGCTAGACAGAACATCCCACTGAAGATGTGTTTTTGGCCACAGCTGCATTGAGACAAGGTTTTAAGTAAGACCTAAGACCAGCCTAGTGGGTAAACTGAGTTATTCTTGCTAGAGAAGCTGTCCAATTAGAGATACATCAAACCTCCTGCCAAGGAAGAGCTGGTGACTGCAGCTATGCTGCTTCCTCAAAGCTTGGGCTGTGCTGGGCCTTCAAGCTGCACAGCAGTGATCGTGAGTGCTGTATGATTTGAACAAACAAAACATCACATTTGTGGCTCAGGAGAGACAGCCTGCTCTCTGCACTGTGGAAAGTAACTTGCTCTTGGTAGCACTGAACAGTGTGATGTGACAGTCCTGATGCTCACCCAGCTTTCTAAAGGAAAGACATTTCCTGCAGTAAGTGTGGGTAGGAAAAAGGTTATGAGAATAGACCAGCTTTCTGATTCTAATTAGTGCTTCACGCTGAGAATATTGTGAGCATAAAACATCTTGCAGAATAAAAAATTATCAGGACAACAGCAGTCATCAGTTCAAGTAATAAAAAGGCACTTAGGTATGAAAAAAAGAATCCAGAAATATAGTTATTTAATGGGGCTTTTTTTTTTCCTAGGGAAAATTTAGCATTTCCTGCTGTACTGATGTTTATGTGAGATAAAGTATTATCAGGTGAACAGCATTAGTTACCACTGAAAGCTTCTATCTCCTTCAGCTGAATCTGCTTACCATGAGCAAAGTAAGCAAGTGATGCACTTGCTTAGACTCCAGCTCAATTTAGGGAAAGGGTAGAAATGAAATTGCTCTTGGCCTTGATTAGTGTTGAAAATATTGATTAAATGGCTTATCTGCCAAATATGAAAGGCTTGTGAGTGTTCTTTGAAGATAGAGCATTAGTAAGAATCTGAGGGGATGATTCTATTAAGGGATGTTTTTGGTGTGGACACCAGTGTTTGCTTGGAAAGGCTTTACTAAAAAAAAAAACCAACTTGAAGTGTTGTTTTTCTTGTATATCCACACATCTGTACCTACTTGCCCTTGTGTGTTAGTTGGTAGAGGCCATTCGAGGTATAGATTGTCTAAGAAATGCTGTGGCCGCCCAGGTCTGAAGTCAGCGGTGTCTCGGCCCAGCCGCGGGGGCAGCCCCTGCCAAACTGCTGTGCCATCAGGAGCTGTCACGGGGCTGGGCAGGACTCGAGGGCAGCATTACCAAAGTGCTGCCTGTCCAAGGGGCAAGAGGAGCCAGTTTTGGAATTCCAGTGTGTGCCCGGTTGTACTGCTTTGCTGCTGCCCAGACGCAGCAATGCCGGTGGCTCTGCTGCCGTCCTGCTCCTGCCCCCGGGGCCGCTTTGCTCTGACAAACACTTCATGTGGCTAACTTAAAAACTGCCCCAAAATGTCTTTCTCCTCATTGCTTTGATTTAAACAATCTCCTCCATCTTCACTCCCTACTGCTCAGTTTCTGGTCTCTGTCCTCCTTTGCTCTTTACACTGTTGCTCCTTGCCACTGTTTTCCTGCCTTCCCTGCTCCCTCCTGCTGATACCACAGCGTATCTGTTTTTAGGCTCTGCTGATTGCATTTCCTTTTTTTGTTCTTGTTGGCCTTTATTCCAATAAGCACAACACTGATAGTTTCTTTGTTGACATATGTGGAGGAGATACGACAATACATTATTTCACTGAAAATTCTCCTCAAAGGATTATCCCTCCAGGGTGAAATGATTGTTTCCTCTGTTTCAGATTAACCACGCTAGGAAGGAAATATTTCATGCTTCATTACCACCATTAATCTTCCAAGGTGCCCCTCTGAATGAAAATCCATTGTTTTGTTTAACAGAGAGGGACACCAATACAAGTTATCCTGTGTAATTATACTTCTAACAGATGTATCTGTCAGGTTGCTCAGTGTTTGGTAACATAACAAACATCACTGAATATTACATTGCAATGTAAAACACATTCTCAGCGAGGTATGTGGACCTGCAGTTTTTCTGTTAACTCTACTAAAATGTGATGGTACCTAATCTGCTGTAGTACACAGGGAGGTATCTTTACCTTACAAGATCATGGGAGACTCACCTTTGATGCTTTGTCAGGAACACCTACGGTAATAGAATAGAGTGAAGAGCAGGAGAGGGAGGTGCAGTTCTGAACCCTTCAGACTTGGTAGCAAAAATCCTCGTTTCTGTGGAGATAGGATCATCAGCATCAAATGTTACCTTTGGATTTGACTTCTAGTTGCTGTTGTGGGTAATGGTGACCTGCAGTCAGAGGCCATTTCATTTGAGGTGGTAGGAGACTTGATGTTCTTCATGCATTATGCCCCTTCTGGACTCACTGCCTTTGGAAAGCAACACTTTATGTTCTGCAGCAAAAGAAATATTAATTTGCAGATGCTGCTTGCTCATTTCTTTAGGTGCTCAAGTAGTTCTGTGAACACTTGGCATGAATTCATATCTAGGATGTGCCAAAGTCATTTTATTTCTAGCTATGATTTATAATTTCATCCTTTCCTTTTTCAACCAAGAATACTCAGGTGTAGGAGAACATTGCAAGGCCGAGGAGCTCAGGAGGCAACGAGCCAGTGTGTTTCATTAGCTGTCTGTGCTGCCCAGTGAGGATTGCACAGTCTTGTCAGTGCTGCTGCATCTTCTAGGGTTTTGTTATTTATTGGCCATAAAGCAAATCAAAGTACTCCTTTGCCACTGACATAGAAGGGAGGGCTTTGAACTAAGTGTTTTGCCTCTTACATATTTTCTTGTGATACATTTTGAGATTCTTTAAATGCTTGTACAGGAATTGTCACTTACACTGTGTTTTTACAGTGCTTAGCAACTTTCAAGCTGATCTAAGAACTACTAAATAATAATTATACCCTTCCTTTCTATTCTGCTCTTTCTGTTCCTTTTGCTCCCACATGTACTCATCATGCTCCTACAGTTTCCAAGTCAAATATTTATAAGCTCATACATGCTGGAATTAAGTTTGCCCATACTTAATTTAGTTTCATTATGTATTACAGCATAGCTAATATGCCATTAGCAGCCACCGAAGTGTTTCTCTGCATCACAACTGCCTCTTAACCTCTGCTCCTAGCCAGCTCCCCAGAACATCAGGATTCTTCTTTTTCTTCCTATGAGTGGGGGCAGGAGATTGGGGAGCACAGGAGTGATGGGTCCCTGTTCTCGTGTCCTGTGTACCAATCACAGCAGTCCTCACACTGGAAAAAGAAGGCAGAATCTTTTACATGCTGTGATAAAGCTTGTCAAAGTGCCCAGATCTTAATCTCCAGACCCTTTTCAGGTACTCCAAAACAGACATGTTCTAGAGACTTCTAAAAATACAGCTATGAAAATATTTTAAAGTGTTCTTAACTATAGGAATCACTACTTTTATTTAGAAAGGAAAGTTTGCATTTCTGTGTAAATGCTTTTCCTGAAGCTTAGTATTTGCAACCTATCTCTTTGGAATCTGAGATTTACACCTCTGCAGATTTATCACACTGCTTGATATGGATGTTATTATTATAAACCATGAAAAAATTAAACTTGAAAATGATTTTGACAAATTGGTTAGATGCCTGCTTCCTCTACTCTGCACACTCAGGGTAATGGATTCTGGTGCTCACAGAGAGATGAATTTTAAATTAGTGTGAATACCTGGGTTCATAAGGAACTGTGCATCAATTTTAAATCTCAGCTGGAAAGCAAAACGCATGTTAGTCATTTTTGTCTCTGATATCAAAAAGATTTTAATCTCTTTCAAGTATTTTTCCTTTCCCGTATTTAAAAAGCAGGTTACCTTTTCCAAAACTTCTGAAACAGGTTAGCACTGGTTACTATGAAAAGGGAAAAATCCCACTGATGATTTTTATTTTTCAGTATATCCGACTCTTGTCTCCAGTAGTGGTTTCATGACACAAAGCAAAATCTAGAGATTCTTAAAAGACTTGAATACAAATAATGATTTCTGATAATGACTACAGGAGTGATTGTCTTTATTGGAGTTTTAATGAGGGTCAGTGAGGTTAGACTGGAGACTACAACTTAAAAAGGGAAATTCAGGAAATTTACTCTTTCAGTCTGTAGGATATTTTTAGGGAAGACAAGGAATCCTGCATTGTCAGTCAACGGCCCAACATTGGGAAAAGGGAAGATTATATCTGCTGAAGTCTCAAGCAAGATGTGATCCCTTTCCCTTTTTTCAAACAGAACTCCCCACTGGTTTCAGGGAGTTCTGCCCACACTGGTTGAAGTCTGTCTCTAAATCAGTCCAGTCATGGGGCTTAGTGGGTTCCATTGGGCAGTGGCATAAGAGATCTCTGTTGGTTGGTAGGAGTTTTGATGTGAAGCGTCCTGGGAGGAAAAAAACCTTTAAAATGAACCAGATACCCAAAACAGTCACGAGACGGTACTGCATAAATCTAAACATTAGACCTGCAAGTATTCACAGAAGCAGTTGTGACATTCATGTAATGCTCCCCAATTATTGGGTTCTAGTGGTGCCTTCCATTAGTCTGGTGTCCAGAGTGTGGCACTTTCCTCTCCAGATCCAGGGTAAGTTTTGTTCCATGGGAGCAGACTGCTCCTGACTCGCCCTGGACGGGGTGTAGCACAGAGGCTGCTACATGAGGATGTGCTCATCCATATGGTGAGCCAACATGCAGGCATATGGGATGGGAACTCTGGATTTGTCTTCGTCTGAGTTCCCAGGAAAACAGGAATCACATCTTGGGCTCCCCCTGAGGTGAGGAACTCTTATTTTCGGAGGTTTTTCTTAGGAACTTCTGCTGTGTACTTGTGTAAAGATCAGGTGTGCTCTGGCCTGGGCTGATAAATCCATCAGGGTAAGAAGGATACTTTTCCAGTGCTTAGTAATTCCCTCTTTTCATATTATGAAATTAGTTTATGCCTGGTTTTGTGAACTTGCTCATAATTTCTCAAGGTAGACATCAAGTTTGGCTCTGCCTAAAAGTGGGTTAGTAGTAGACTTTGTCCTGGTGGAAAAGAGAAGCCATAAAACATACGGCTAGAGAATTATTATCACTTCATGGCACCCAACCTATACTTGGTGCCCACAGATTATGGAGGCAGATTACAGTTTTGTTTTGTAATCTCCAAATCTAATGGAAGCTCAAAGATGGTCCTGAACTGACCATAGAAAGGAAAGTGCTATTTCTGTTGTTGTTGTTGTTGTTGTTTGGAAAGGCTGAGGAAAAGACTAAGAAATTAAATTCTCATCTTTGTCACCCAAGGAAAAATATTCAGGTCTTCCAGTGTCTATTGCAAAAAACATTGCCTGAGGATGTAATATAAAGAGCAGAGTGTAAAGTCCCAGCACTGTTGCAAAGACTGATGTGACCATCATTTTCCTGCTGCACAACTCTGCTGTTGCATTTTGCAACAATGTTTTTAAAATGTTTTTCCCCTTTATTTATTTAAGACTAATGTTCTTTCATGTAAAAATAAGGTCTGGGAATACAAGGAATCGAAGTATTCTGTTCAAGGCTAGAGTTAGTCTTTGCTGCATTTATTTAATTTTAATTTGTTCTTCTGTGTAGAATGAGCTCCTTTGTTATCCTTTTTTTTTTTTTTTTTTCACTGATCATATGACCAAAAAGTTCTTGTCATGGAGGAGTCCCAAGATATCATTTTGGAACAAAAGTCTTCTTGGGCAGTCTGCAGCCCAGGAGCCAACTGGCAGTGGGCATTTTACAAGTATAAAACACTGTGAATGAAAGCTGTCAGACCATATTATGCAATATATCCCAGCAGTACCAGTTTCATTATTTTCAGATAACATTATTGTCTTTTTTATTAGATATTTTAGTAGCCACATGAAGCTTCCCATCCTCCTGCTGTGCTTCATTCAGTCAGGCCAGAAGAAATGCAGTGAGTGCAGAGTACAGGGATTGTCCATGTATCCCTTTTGCCTCCTCCTTCAGCAGACCTTGCAGGGATCTCCTCTGGCTCTTCTCACAGTAAAAGAGAGGCGGAGAAGATATTTTCCTTACAAAACAATGACTTAAGACAGAGAAATATCATCATGGAAGTTCAGTGGCTGGGCTGAGTTCTTTCCTCCCACATAGGAGTTGGACTATGGACAAGAGCCTTTTCCACCTCAAAGTGAAGTTGAAGGAAAGTACTCAGAATGGTTTAGGGCAGATTTGTAGAGGTCTTTGGAGCCTTTAGTCAGCTATTTCCCTTTGCAACCATGTCTCACCTACATCAGAACTATATCATGATGAAATCCCAGGTTGCTCATGCTTCTGACCAGGTGCTTCTGCATCACCAAAAATCCTCTCACCTCTACATTTCCGAAAGAACCCCTGGAACATCCTGGTGATCCTGCACCCAGGTATTCCATACCAACAGCCAGTTGCTTTGCTGTTGCTGCCACATCTTGAAGAGAGTTTATGACCCTTTCTTCAAGAAAGAAAAATTACAAAATCCTGTGCTTTGAAGGGAAGTGATTTTTGTCCCCTGAGACAGAGATCCCAAAGGCTCAAGTTGAATACTTGCATTACAGGTAGAACCTGCAAGGTCTTCCACATTTTTCTTCCACACTGAAGTTCCTAGGCAGTATCTGTGTGCTGTGAACTTGACAGGAGTACAAATAAATTAGAACTCCAATTATTCCTTCTTCTCAAGATAATTTCTAAATAGGTTCGTTCATAAATGGCAAATGGAAAGAAAGCATTTAAATGGTTTCATGTAGCTTAGTTTAGAATATTCCTTAGCAATCACCTTAGATTTGTAACACCTATATTTTATTTCAAAGAAAATTGACTTCTGGATTATCATATTAACCAAAATTAAAGCAGAGAGAATATAAACGTGGTCATGACAGCCCTGCAGCATAGAAGTCTAATATTGCCACATGGAAAAGACAATGGGAAATTGAAATGTTGTGTGTAACTTTTTGTCAAAGCCCTGAATAAAGTGACTCTCTAATTATCAGCAGTTCAACTCTTTTAGAATAGCAGATTTGGAGAGCCCAAAACACCACAAACCTCCAACTAGCTTTTGTTAGGCAATCCTTTTATTATTTTTACACTGTTGTGCAGGGAAATTGTGGCATAACGAAATGTGTGTATGTTGCATGTTTACCTATATTTTACTAATGTCAGGTTTTCTTCTTTATCCCATTCTTTTAATTTCCTGTACCTGTGAGCCCCTTACGTACCTCTCTGGGTGCCCAGGAGAGTTATTCCTCTGACAGGGACTGTGGTTCTCACTTTCCATGGGCCTGTGGAGATCACCAAATGCAAATCTGTGTCTTCACAGCCCTTGCTGAAAACGGCAAAAATAGCAACTCTCCCTTTCCCCTCCATTGCATTGTCTAACAGCGTGATCCATCTTCTGTGGATATTAATAGCAGCTTATACTGATTTTAATGGAAACGGATCCTGTCGATAGCAGGGAATCGGGCGGAGCTGAAGGGAGTGGGCAGCAAACGCCCGGGGGCAGGGAAAGAGCAAAGCGGCAGCTCCTTCTCTGGCCGTGTGCAGGGGACAGGGCCCAGCTGGGTGACAGCAGAGCTGCCCTTTGCATTGGCCTCTGAGCCCCAATTCCTGCCTGAGCAGCAGCCTGGGCATAGCCAGGCTGATCTTGCTCCTCTCCAGAGTTTAATGTGGCACCTGCCCAGGAAAGTGGGAGCCGAGGCTGAGCTTCTCAGCTTCTCTTTCCAGTACTGCTGCATTCCAAGACTCCCCTCAAGTAGGAGTCGACCGCCTCCTCATCTCTAGGAGGTCTCAGAGGGGTTTTGGGGAATTGGTTCAGTTCTTACCCCAAAACTCTGCAGAGCTCAGTTCTGCTCTGTTGCCGGCTCTCTCTCTCCTCTCAGATATCTGTGTCTCTGCTAGTTGCGTGCTGTCTTTGCTGCTTCCCTCTTATCTCTTGGCTTTCAGCCATAGCCTAATAGTAGGTGGGATGGTTTCCCAGAGTGCTCTCTTGGGAAAACTCTCCCTTCCTAGTGCAGACAGCGTTTTGGAGATGCCTCCCTCTTGTCCTCCTGCTCCTCTGCCTTCTGAGAACAGTTGTTCAGCTTCACAATGCTTTTGCTGTGCAATCTTAGAGCATTAGAACCTTTTGTTTCTAGAACCTTTTGTTACTAGAACCTTGTAAAAAGATACCAACACCTTTTTGAAGTGAGACTGGCAGTGAGATGTAATTAAATGATTGACAAGATGCTTTGAAATCCTTCAAAAGAAGATGCCTTTGTATAATTAATAAAGAGTATGGTTCATATTCTCCTGCATCTTTAGAGAATCTGTGGAAACAGGTAGAAGGGTAAGAAATGGATGAGGATTTTCTTGTAAAATTTCTCTATCTTTGAGTGCCTCTCTTATTTTACTTTTGACAATTATCTGCAACAGGTTCCTCATTACAAGTGTATGAGTAGGCCCTGCTGACACTCTCTCCAGTCTGTCTGCCTTGTACTTTGGCTGGAGTCTGATCACAGATTTTTCAGACTGTTTGCTGATTCTTTGTTAGATTTTTGTGAAGACAATTTAGGATTTCCTCCTTCTTCAAATTAATTTTTGTTCTTGTTTTGATCTTGCTTTCTTATATTCTTTTTGAATATAAGAGTCATTCAGACATGACTCAGAATGTAGACAATTGACTTTTTAAAATGCATTTCAGTGTCATAATCTCTTTTTTGGCAGTCTATGTGCTGACATACATATCCATATTTTTGCCTCATAATGGGGTAGCATTTACATATATTTTTCATATATTAGTTTTCTAATTCTTGGTCTTTTGTGAATTATCCATTTTCTATGCCTTTAAATAATTAACTTGTTATATATACAGTAATAAGTTTTGTAAAACATCCATATTCAGTGAATTTAAGTAGTTTTAAGAGAATGTACTGTTTACAGTGCAGCAGTTGTAGGAGGAACAGAACCTTTACAAGCAACAGACAAAAGGATAACAGAACCAAGATATTTGGTAGCTGCAGTAAGAGCTGTAAACACTTAGCAAACTATCAAAGCTTTCTTTAAACTCAGAAAAACTAGCAACTAAATGAAATACAGAAAAATAACCCCCAAACCTTTCCAGATGGGACATACCAGAAAAGAACAGGATGTAATACCGTCTTTTGATATAGAAAAGCAAGCAGATAAGGTATCTCTAGGACAAAATAGGACAGAATTATTTCTGAAATATATGTGTGGCTTTCACAGAGCTGTTGTTTTGCATCTGCTCTGTTCTCCCCACTGCCCATTGGGAATGGTCTCTGGCACAGCTGTTCTTTGGATTGTGCCCTTGCAGTTTGGGAAACTGTGACTTGGCACGAGGCAGGAAGGGGCTGAGGAGCAAGCAAACTGTTGGGCAAATGTCTGCCCAGCTGGCCAGTGCCTGGGCTCATTTCCTGGACCTGTTTTAATTAGGAGCAGAGATGAGAGCACTGGGATCCCCTGCTCAGCGTGTCCCTGGATTGCCGAGTGCTGCTCAGCCTTTGCATCACCAAGTAACTGGTTCCATGACTTATGACAAAGCCCCAGTTCACCACTTCTGTCCAGCAGCACTCTGAGTCTTACTCTTAACTTTCAGAATGAGTTGAATTAAAACCAACCAACCAACCAACCAACCAAAAAACCCCACAACCACAGCCAAACAAAAGGCAGAAAGTGATTTTGAAAAATCAGTTTTGGATTGACTTCTAGTTTTTGCGTATGTGATTTAGTTCAAACTGGATCAGAGATGTAATTTCTTGGCCTCATTGAACTCAGAGGAAGTTTCACTTCGAGCCTTTGGATATTAACTTTTAAGGCAAAACTCAGTGAAATCAGTGCTAGTTGATCCCATGGAGTCTATGGGTCTGAAATGAGCCTTCCCCTTGTGCTTTTTTATGACTACTCATAGCACTGTAATAAATGACTTCTACAGACTCAATATTTGTGTTAAAATAGGGCTCTTATTTTATCAGAACAGTAAGGAACAATCTCGGATGAAATATTAGCGTTTTTATGCTCGGAATTGAGAGCAAACCCAGGATTTTAACTGGTGGGGGGTAGGATTACACCATTCATTTTTCTGTCCTGCTGTTCCTGTTGTTATATGGCACGAGGGGAATTAAAGTCTAAAACATTGTTATATTTTTTCATAGGAAAAACAAATTAACTGGTTTGCCTCAGAAGTCTTAAGTAATCAATACCTGATTATATGAAACATGATTTATAATTTGAAAGCTGTAACTTGTTTGTGTAATCTAACCAGCCTCATTTTGTTTCTTGTGGGATAGCCCAACAAGTTAATCACACTTCCTCTTCACATCTGAGTTGAAATATCCTCTATTCTACACTATTTGGAACCTGGCCTCAGTGAAATCAGCGACACTCCTGAATAATCTCTCCCAATAATTCTGAGATTAGCTCAGGGGACTTCTGCAGAATTGCCCTTATTTTCATAGTTTTAGAGCTCTCATATCTAAAGTCTGAGCATCTTCTGGTACTTTTCCTTATATATCATATGAGAAGATTTACAGTGGAGGGGTTTGTAGACAATTCAATAGGAAGCACAGAACAGCAACTTCTCCAGAGAGTGAAAAAAACCCCTTTATTTGAAGACTCTGATAGCACTCAACATTACATCTTCCATTTATTTTCTAAACCTAATGTATTGTTCCTCTCTTCAGGGTCAAATTTTGTAGTTCTTTCACATGTAAAGCTTTCTTTGATCTGGAAAGATGAATAACAGTTGCAAAATATCTTCACCTCTGATCTCCTTGGCTACAGATTTCCTAAGTTTTTGTCTCATTCCTTTCTACTTTGTAATTACCAGGAGTTGCCTCATCATGTGCTACTTCATCAGATGCTTTTTCAAGCTAATCTATAACAGCACAAATATAAAATATTATGGCGGGTGCTGCATTTACCAGTCAGTAATTAACTCCTGTTCAAGACTAATTACATCCAGGTTTTGTACGTCACTTCTTGTCATGGCATGGTATGGAGATACTGGAGGAGAGCAAGATGAAAAAAAGAAAAGAAAAATAATAATAATAATAATAATAATAATAATAATAATAATAATAATAATAATAATAATACCACATCAAAGAGTAGGGGAGAAAATTGTGCTTAATCTTCCTTGGCAAGCCTTTAGGCACAAACACATTCCTGGGAAATGGAGCAACCCAGTGAGAACAAGGCAGTGCAGTGAGCAGGGAAGGCCTTTCCCAGGTTCCCACCTCACGGTGGGAAGGAAAGGAAAGGACAGCTGATCAGGGAATAGATCCATGCACCAGCCACAGAAAAGTGCTGAAGGATATCTTGTGCTCTGGGAAATTTCCAGGGAAGTGACAACATGGCCAGAATTACAATCCAGCCCCAAGTCTTGCTTTTTTCATGGAGATGACAAAACTACATAGACCTTATATAGGTCTCTGTTCTGTTAATTAACAGTTTTATAGCACATCTGAGGGACCATAGACTGGGCAGAACTGCCTAACTCACTTCCATTTATGCAGAAATGTATTGCTATTTCAGATAAATGATCCAGAAGTAGTAATTATGTTTTTATAATAGTTTTTGATGAGATATCAGCTCTCTGTCAAAGAGTAATTTGTATGACAAGATACAGATAGAAACAAGACTGTGACTTGAATAGAATCTCTTAAACAAAGACCATGGCACTTCTCAGCTCACTGCAACCTCTGCTGCTTTTTACCATGAGAATCTTTTGTTCATCATTAATGCAGTTTGAGGGTCTTTTTTTTTTTTGTTTTTCTAAATAGATTAATTTTTCTGAAAATGAACTGAGACCCATGCAAAATCCTTTTACATTTACTTAGGACATGCAAATATATACAATAAATTTTAGCAGACTTCTTGCCCACTTGTTACACTGTCAATGTTTGCTTAGGCAAAATGGGCGGGCAAAGCTGGATAACCACCATAAAAATACTTCTACCATTATTCATTTGGATGGAAAATGTAGTTCAAGCTGTATTTGTTTAACTCCTGCAAACATTTGGAAATTATGTTTTAATCACCTAAAGGTTTGCAGAATCTGAACTTCAAATAGACACATTTTAAATGTTCAGGTGCTTGGATGATATTTAAGTTATATAGAATGCAGAAATACTTGTCAGCATGGGATTACTAAATTGCTGTGCCAGAGCAAAGATACAAACCCAGTTAAATGGATTGGATCAATACTTGACAGCACCTTGTCCATCCTGAGTGATGACAAGACAAGGGGGAATGACTTCAAACTGAAAGACTGTAGGTTTAGATATGATATTAGGAAGAAACCCTTCCCTGTGAGCGTGGCAAGGCACTGGAACGGGTTTCTCAGAAAAATGATGGGTGTCCCATCCCTGGAGGTGTTCAAGGCCAGGTTGGATGGGGCTCTGAGCAACCTGGTCTAGTGGAAGGTGTCCCTGCCATGGTTGGAACCAGATGATCATCAGGGTTCCTTCCAACCCAAACCATCCTACGAACACACACAATTGTTACTTAGGGTGCATGTGAAGAGAGAAATATAAGTGCAAACTCTACAACCACAAAGGAGGTCCTTCTGTGTGATACCCCTAGAAATGATTTATCAGGCAAGGAAAATAGGGGGGAAAGGCCTATAGACTGTAACAAGAATGATTATAGAATAGTGAAAATACCTAGATTTCCTGTTTGTCCACTTCCAGATTTTTTAAATGTTTGATTGCAAGAAAAATGCCCAAAGTCTTTGTCAGATTGGCATTTGTTTTTGGAGAGAAATATGTGAAATTAAGTACATGCCATTAAATTTCGCTTAAGCTTAGCGTGCACTACTGAGGCGAGCTGTGCAGTGGGAGGAAATGGAACAACTGGAGCCATGATACTGAGAACACTTTGCCCACACTACACATATTTCATAAATTTAACTTCAGTCT